GATCAGGAGCTGGTAGACAAACTTCTGCTTAGGCCCAGGCATAAGTGTCTTGATTGTTTAAATATAATTAATGACTAGTCAAGCTTAAACATTTACTCATTTCCACACCTTTTCATGACAGCGAGTTAGTTATGACACTGGAAATGTAGTGTAAATGAGGGAGGCAGTGTCTACGGCAAATGAGTGCCCTTGTCCTAACAACCTTTTGCCTACAGACCAAAAAAGCAGCTTCAAGCATCTCTTAATCATGCTAACTTAAACATTTGGCCAACCAAAGTTACTCAGGTCAAGTCCAAATATGGCCTATGTTCCCTATATTGTTCATGGCAGTATGCTCTGTGTATGCTAGCTACATGGTCTATCAAACTAAACACAGGCACAGCAGCATAATCCAACAATAATGCCAGAGCCTATAAACCCTGAGTCACACGAGCATTCCCCTGAAGTCAATTGCACTGTTTGCATGAGGAAGGTGCACTTGAGTAAGAAAAGGTTTGTAGAATCTTCCTATTCCAGGGCCGTTCCTTTCACTGTGAGTTATGCTGAGAAGCAATACTCATTTGCCATATCATAGTTGGTTTGTGGATAGTCAAATACTGGCTGAAACACATGCAACTGGATTATCTGAATACATTATCTGAGGCTTTCTTCAGTGAGGAATAACTGACACCTTGTTATTACATTAAATGTGGAACAGTCCTTTTGTTCTGTGCATATCCCAATTTTAAATTGACTCTTCCAAGTGGGTGAGGAATTTCCAAGTGCCTCAGAGCTGTACAAAGCTTACAAATAACTACAGCTGATCAAATAGCGGACAAAATTGGAAAAGTTCAATCAATTTTAAAGGAAATTTCAATTCAGTCATAGTCAACTTAGGTTTATTTTCCACTAATGTTCAAGCTTTACTAGTGCAACTACAAAAAGTGAATTTTTCACCTGTCTATTAAATGAACTGCATACTGTACTACAGCCCTCCACTATTGTGCTGAAAAATTTACCAGCTCCAGCTCAAAATCCACTCACCCATCCTTCACCATGATGATTGACAGTAATAAAAACTGAACGAGATTTTATTTGCCCATACAAAAAAAAAAGTACTCTGCCAAGAGAGTAGAACTTTGTAAGGCTGATGGCACCTTTCATTGTAAAATAAGTGCCTTGCATTTCATATTAACCAACAGAGTATGAATGGCCAATCTTTGTGTCAAATACACAATCTGACGTGTGCTTTGGCTAGTTCAATCAGGAAACAGAAATGAAACCACGTGATTAATATGACTGATCAGCAAAGGGAAAATTACAAATGGTCTATTTAATTGTAGAGCAAAATTCACAATATTTGTAAGCTGAGGTCTGCAGACCATTGCGCTCCTTAAAAATTACTCCTCAAACAACAACCCGCTCCCCAAAACTCCCTGGAAGTTGTTTGTGTGCCTTTTATTTATTTATTCCCATCTTCCATATCTTTGTCCCGTTTTCTCTCCTTCTATCTCCGACCCATATCTCCAGCTCCACAACATTTTCTAGCCTGTGCTCGTTTTAAGACTATATGTTATTGTGGTATGGATGCAAGTAATTATAATGATGAATAGGGCAATCTGAAAGGCTCGTTCAGTTCAAGTATGTGGTTGCATTGGCAATTTGCCTTATTTATTAGGGATCTGGAAGGTTCTAGCTGACCTGTGATTGTACTTGCCCCCTCTTCTACTAAGAAGCTTTGTAGTTTTTAATTATTCCCATTTAAACTGACCTTTACCTTGGAAGGTACAATATTTACACTTTGCTGGTGAAATCTTTGTATGTTTCAAAAAATTCCTGGTCATAGTGACCGGAGCTAAGAGGACACATTACACACACACACTGCAACTTTGCCAAGAGTAAGTTTTTTTTGTTTTTTTTTTAATGCAGAAAAACAAAATGTTTCTGTGTATATGTAATGCACGCACACTCAGACACGGATGTACAGCCTTTGGATAGCATAGATTATCTGTGTATCTATTACAATGTTCCCAACTCTTGCCATTTTATCACTGAGTCTTAGATAGTTAGTACTTGTCTTGAAACTCCAACTGCTGGAGTCAGGTTATTACCTAAGAATCACAGCTTTCATTTAAAATAAAGTAAATGTCTAGCCCTCGTGTTGCTGAGAAAAGCAGGAAAATGTGAACTCTAGATATTCCAACCCAAGAGGGCAAAGGAAAATAACTTGCTTTTAAAATCTCATGATTGCGGGGGGGCTGACTCATGATTTTTGAATGCTTGAGCTTGGCAATGCTTCTATTTTTGGTCTGATTTTGGCTCCCATATGCTCCGGCTATATGGAATGCCCAGCGCTTCTGAAAATCAAGCCCCAAGGTCTTACTAGTCCACATGTGAGTGTAAATACTAGTGTTTCATTGGTGACACTATTATGTGGCTTTCTTTCTAAGTCTCTAGTTGCAGGTGTTTGTATTTCTGAAAATATTTCTTGGTGGGACAAGATTTCTCAGCCTGACAGTGAATGTTGTAGAAAATTCTGGTGAAATTCTAGTTGGCTCATTTTCTGATGTCTGAGTAGTTTTTAAAAACCAGGCAAATTTTTTTATACTGGGCCAGCTCAAAAAAAAATTTTTTTTAAACTTGCCTGAGAAGTATTCCTGTGACATGACTGAATAAAATTGGCTTAGAAATAATGAAGTTAAAAGAATTAGAAAATCTCTGGATGTGCATAGAAATTACAGGGGATTTGATAATACTCCCTTCTTTCCAGGTGTAGTAAAGGGCAGTGTGGAGGCATACCACTCCAAGGGGAACACAGGAGGAATTCTTTCTCAAAATTCAAGCTCCATGGGGTGGCGTAAGTTTTGTAATGCTTCTTCTAAGGGGAGCAGCATCCTCTCCTCACACCAGAGTGGGTAGCTGGCTCTCTGCCCCCTTTCTGGAGTGCTCCTTTCACATGGAAACAGCTTGATAGTAGGCCCTGTTCTCCCCCCAAAGGACAGTCATAAAGGGCTGTGTTTCTGGCCACACCTTACACGGGCTGAGCAAAGGGAGAGACTTTTTACTCCCTCACCTCACTGTGAGGCAATGTAAGGGCTGGCCATAGAGGAGCTCTATATGTTTTCCACTCATTGTTTAACAAAGCAGTGAGTTGCAGAGCTCCAACATACATGCATGAAAACACGGCTAACTGGAGTTCTGAACAGTGAAATACTGTGTAAACTGATTACAACAGCTCAGTATGATTGCTCTGTACTGTCTGATATTAACTACTTGGGATCTTCCACCCTGGCTGGCCTACCCCACCAGCCAACCCCTTCCATATTTGGTCACCAGATTGCATATTGATTTAAAATTTTCTGCCATCTGGGGCTTTGTCCCTAGTTGCAGGCCTGGAGGGGAGGCCATGGCATGTTGTGTGAAGGTAGGATGTAAACCTGCTGGGGCAAGAGGCACTTTTATGGCCAAACTGGATCCAGTCACCAACCCTCCAATCTGTTCTAGAAAACCATCGGCCAGCTCTGTGTGTCCCATTGTGCCAGGATTGGCTGGTTGCCAAGACCTATTTTCTCTTAATGTTGCTTGGCAAAAGCACTTTAGACTTAATGGCTGAAAATCATTTTAAATTCTAAGGTAGCCACCTTAGGTTAACTGAAAGACCACCTTGAGAGACAGGGCAAATTTAATATTGCTAAAGACAAGGACAAATTTGTTTATAATCTGACCAGAAAGGAACAAACCAATCTTGTATTCCAGCTGCAGACTTCCAGAGGGGGCTTCTTGTGGTTGGTGATATCATGGACACATCAAGTGCACTGAGAAAAGAAAAGTAACAGAAAAAGAAGATAGTCTTAGTAAAATATTATATAATTCTGAATACTGAATAAAGGTATGGCCCTCAGAATAAAAAGTGGAGGCCAATGTCATGCCCAAAAAATGTGCAACTACATATGTGTTCATACCGCTATTGAAGTAAGGTCTTGGGATTAAGGCAATGGACAATTCTCAGCTCTCTCACAGATTTCAGGTATGACCGTGGCAAATCACTTAATTTCTCTGAATAAAATGCTGGCCCCATTGAAATCGATGGGATTTTTGCCATTGACTCCAATGGAACCAGGATTTCATGCTCAGTGTTTAATTTTCCCATCTGTAAAATGGGGATTTGATAATACTCCCTTCTTTCCAGGCACCGTCTGTTTTAGCTATTTAGATTGTAAATTCTACTGGGTAGGGACTGTCTTCATATGTGTTTGTACCATCTCTAACACAATGAGCATCTAAGTACTAACAAAGCAAATAATACATTTTTAAAGTTGCACTTCAACTGCCATATTTGCATAGCCATAATAATTTACAAATGAACTATACTAATGTGGGAAAATGCCCATCACTATAATCTATAAATTGCCTGGTACCCTAATTTTATCCCTTTTACACATAAATCTAGAACCTGACTTTAACAGGAATAAGAACCTCAAAAATTCATGTGACGCAGCAGCATAGAGAATAATCTAGGAATTGGGCTTTTAAGTAAAATCCATAATGTTATATTATTTTAACATTTTGGCAAATCAAGAAATAAGAAAAAGACAGTTGTCACACTTAATACTGCTTGCTCACTGAGTCATTATCAGTTAGATAACATTTTGTATCATATGCCAGGTCAGAATAACCAGGGCAAAGTCATCTTAATCTGTGGTAGAATCAATGACAGGCAAGCAGCCATGAACAAATCTACCAAATAAAGTAACATATTATATGTATTTTTAATTTGTTTTAAAGAACTTTAGGAAAAGCAAGAGATACTCTTAAGCTGTCTGTCAAAGATTTAAATAATATGATTTCAATGAGCCTGGCATGGTCTGTCCAGGATTCCTCCCATTCAAAAGTCAATATGGTTGCAAAAAGAAAACTGTTTGCATAAACTGATAACAAATTGAAAAATCAGCAAAATACAGCTTAGCAGTGGCCATGTGCTAGTGATGGTTTTTCTATAAAAGCCTCATGATGCCTGAGGAGGTCTTCATTCACCTTCATCATGAGGGGAATCATACTAGCGCTAGCGTTCACCCTTGTGGGTAAGTTTACATAGCCCTTCTCTGTTAGTCTTTACTGGGTTTTTATAGTGGAGTCAAAAAATTAAATTCAAAATTAATTTGTTTGCCATTATTCATGTATCCATTTGATTTCTTTTCACAGGGAGTGAAAAGTATGACCCTGGTAAGTCTACTGTTCATTTCTTAAGCTTCATTCAATGCCTTTGTCATAATGACCACAAAGCAGAATGTCTTTTAAATTATTACTAAAAGTGAATATTTGTATCATTTTTCACAGAGCCTGATTTTAGTAGCAACAAGATCTACTTGTACAACTATGAGGGCCTTACCCTGAATGGACTGCCAGAACCTGGTTTGGCAAGAGCTGGGCTGAGACTGTCCTGTAAATTAGAGATCAGCGTATTGTCACAGAGGAAGCACCTCCTCAAGGTAGACTGCACTATTTCCAAAGGAGATCAAATAACAACAGCATTGAATACCAAGTCAGGTTAAAGCAACACTTGGGTTACTGAATGTTGTAGGCAGCCACAGGAAAAAAGCAATGGAGAAAAGAGCTTTGAAGATTTTAGGGACTGGGAAATGACTTGTGAGTTATGGCTCCCGTTTTCAAAAGTGACTAGTGATTTGGGGTGCCTCAATTTTGGAGTGTTCAACTTGAGACGCCTTAATGTGATCTGATTTTCAGAGGTCAGGTGACAGCATCCAAAAATGGAGGCACCAAAAATCACTAGTCATTTCTGAGAACCTTGGCCTGCAACACCAGGGGTCCAATCCTGATCTCATTTAAGGTTTTGATCTGGCAATCCTGACACATTCCAAATTCCCATGGAAGTCATTAGGAGCAGAGGCAAGTCCTTAATTTATACGTAATAATAACAATTCTAGCCAACTTACTTTTTATGTTATTCAGCACTCTTACTTATTCAATAGTCAGGCAAAGCTGAAGCTCCTGTTGATTCAGTGGGAGCATTGCCTAAATAAGGGCTTATGAAATAGGATCCTAAAGTAGTTCTTCTCACTTTGTACTGCGCAGTTACTTATTATGTAAAACTAAAAATCTGTGTTGGGTTTTCTATTCAACTTTATGCTCAAAGTGGTTGATGCGAATAGATTTAAAAAAAAATATTATTAAGAGGTAATTCAAATGTTTTTAGCTTTTTTCTTTAATATATAATATACTCAGTGGGCCAGATTCAATGGAGGTATATTGGTCTTACATCAATATAAGAGCGAGTGGGAAGAATCAAGTTCTATGTATTTATCTCTATATATTATTTTTATTTATTATTTGTATTACCATAGTGCCTAAAAGCCCCCAGCCATCACAGGCAAGGATCCCATTGTATTAGGTGCTGTACAAACAGCACAGAAGACGGCCTCTGCAGTCTATATTCAGAGTAAACCATGTATAACAATGTTAATTCTTTCCCTAGTTATTTTCTGTATACAGTATATACTTTAAAAATATTTTCGCTCACAGAACGGAGACCAATGCATTTTCTGAATTTTGTTCTCAGATCCGATCTCCACAGCTGGAGGAATACAATGGGATCTGGCCCAGAGATCCATTCATTCGAGCTTCCAAACTCACTCAGACGATCGCTTCGTATCTCACCAAACCCTTTACGTTTGAATACAGCAATGGGCGGGTTGGAAACATTTATGCCCCAGAAGATACCCCCATCACGTGCATTAACCTACTGAGAGGAATGCTGAACATGTTGCAGATAACTATGAAAAAGTCACAGAATGCATATGAATTGCAAGAGGTTTGTTTCTCCAGTTTCAAGCTAGTTTGCTGCATGTGCCCAAGCATCACTTGTTATTATTAAATGTTTTTCAGTCAATTAAAACTCTTGCTTATAGTTTATTTGTATTTATTTTAAAATTTCACTCAACAAGCACAAAAATATTAAAATATTTTCATTTGGACAAAAGAAAATATACATTTATATATGAAGGTGATCGTTTCTGGCAGATTGTCTATTACATTCTCTATATGTGTACTCTATAAAATGGAAGACTAAGGGAAAAAATAAAGGTAATTATCAGACATTGAGATATTTATTGTATATCTTCCTCATTTACTCTGTTCTGTCTAATCTATCAGTGTTCATTGAATTGGTTATATCAATTAGGTGATTATTTCCTAAATTGAGTCTCTATCCTGCAGCCTTTACTCATCTGAGTATTCCTGCTTACTTCAGTGGTACTACTCATGTGCGTAATGAGAGCAGGCTTTGACACTTAATTAAGAAATGGTTTCCATATAGTCTTATTAAATTTCATTTTCGCTTTAAATCTCAGTTCAGGGGAATGTTCTTCCTCTCATGCAGACCTGATATAACTACAAAGCCCAATTATTTTCTATCATTCTCTATAGGCTGGGATTGGAGGCGTCTGCCTTACAAGGTATGTTATCCAGGACGACAGGAGGAATAACCGTGTCTCTGTTACCAAAACCAAAGACCTCAACAACTGCCAGGATAAAGTGGTGAAGGATATTGGAATGACTTTCATCCGCCCTTGTCCTTCTTGCCCATTGGTATGAATAATCTAAACAGATCCACTCTAAAAATGAGTAAAACCATGGTTTAGTCTCATTCATTACATGAGTTTCTTTGCTCTTTTAGAAAGAAAAGGTTGTAAAAGGAACTGCTGCATTCACCTACAAATTGAAATATGCAGATTCTGGTACCCTGATCACAGAAGCTGTGTCCCAGCAAGTCTATCAGATCTCCCCTTTCAATGAACCCACTGGTGTTGCTGTCACGGAGGCAAGGTAAGCCTCAGAGGTGAAAGTGAAAATAAGTGTAAAGGCATCAGTCTGATCTTGCTCCCACGTGAAGTAAATGGAAGTTGTCTTAAATGGCAGCTGATAAAGTTGCAGGTATTCATACTCTACTCCCACCCACTCACCCACCCAAAAAAGCTGTGGAAATTTTGCACTAACAATAATTTTTTGCTGCATGTAAATTGAACTTTATTGTAATTAAAGGAGAAAAAAGTGGAAAAATAATTCTGCTTCCTAAATCCATGGGAGTACTTCTGTTCAACAATTCCACTGAGAAAGTGCCGCTTTATAGCACCAACATCCCCTGAGTCAAAATGAACATGAGGCACACACAGAATAAAATCACTATAAATGTTATGTTATCATAAAACCAGTATCTCTTGCTTTGGAAAATAACAATTCGGCTCCACTTAACAATTCAGCTCCAGTTCAACAGTTATCTCATTGCAGATACTCATTATCTCCTGACAGTATTCTGTTCCATTGAAAAGACCATAACCCCAAGAAATTGTAAAATCTTTTGTGATAGAAAAAACAAATAAAGAACTATCCATATCCCCACTGTACAGCCAAAGCAGTGAAGTCAGGTGGATGCAGCTAGACAGCTTATTCCTCCAAATGACACACGTTGATTTCTCTTTATTTCCTTCCAGACAAGAACTTACCTTGGTTGAAGTGAAAAATGAACGTGTGAGCCCTCCAGAAATTCAGCTGCAGAACTGTGGAGGCCTGCCTTATCATTTCTCACCACTACTGCTCCAGATGCCAATTCAGCTAATCAAGACGAAAAACCCTGAGCAACGGGTATAGAATGCTTAGTTTATTAAGCTGCTTTGCCATTTATCAGACTAATAAAAGATCAATATATTATTACAAACTCAACGGAGAAGCAACTAATTAGCATATTCCCTCTGCCTTCTATCCTCAGATCGTGGAAACATTGCAACAAGTAATCCAGGACAACCAGCAAGAGCTCCATGGGGATGCTCCATACAAATTCTTAGAGCTTATCCAACTGTGTCGGGTAGCAAGTCCTGATACCTTGGAGTCTGTCTTTAAGCAATTTTCAGATAAATTTCATCACAGGTAATGACTGATTGTGTCACTAACAATTGACATGTCTTGTACAAGGAGCAGAGAGAGCTAAATGTATGGATTTTGTACCCTGGCTGCAGGATTTGGCTGCTGAGTGGAATTACTATGGCAGGCACCATTGATTCACTGAAGTTCCTTAAGCTGAGAATTCGCAATGATGACTTTAAGTACATTGAGGCACTTCTGACTGTTTCTGTTGCCCTCCATTTAACAAAAGCGGATGGTCATACTATTACAGTAGCAGCAGTGAGTACAAAATACAGGATCCTTTCCTGGTCACATCATCATGATAACAATTGATAATAACTAGTGATTTTATAGCACTTCAGGGGCCAGATTCTTCTCTCACTTACACTCATTTTGTATCAGAATATCTCTGTTACTTCAATTGACAGCTGCCTGTATGAGAGGGGAATTGGGTCCTATATCTTCAATTTGTTATGCAGGCATTAAAAATTAACTCCCACACCTACCCTATATTGTTATCCTCATTTTAGTTTTCTTGGCCCATATATTCTCTCTTCTGACATCAAACCTCAGTTCATCTTTTTCTGTTAATTCTAAAGAATTAATGGTGATGGATGAGTCAGATAATTTGAATAGCTCTTTTAAGCATTACATTTTCCAGTCCAGAGTAATTACATAACATTCCTAGACACCGGAATAAAGTAAAAGTATTGTAGGTGAAATATTATCAAAATTAAAACACCAAACTCTTTACATACAGTTGATACAACCATCTATTATATAGTAGACTTTCTTCTGTTTCTAGTTAATATTCCTATTCTTTAACATAAGAAAACACAGAATATGAAGTGAGCACGATTCTTTAATATAATAAAAAGTTACAGACTCTTCCAGAGAAATTCCATTTGTAGATTGGCTCCTGCCCATGTCCTTTGTACTTTGTATCCTGCCTTTCTTAGGCCACATCTTCAGCTGATGTAAATCAGCATAGCTCTATTTAAGTTAATGGCGATATGTTGATTTACATTAGCTGTGGATCTAGCTCAAGCGAGTGTAAAATATTTTACTGGCTTGATTTAATTTTATTGAAAGTGAAAGATATTCAATTTTAAATAACTTTTCTAGATGAATCCTAAGTAATTGTCCTTATCTGAAAGGTAAGGTGAACATAACCCTGATTTAAAGAGGTGCCTCTTTTCCTTCTGCAGGATCTAGTGACCAGCTCCCGACTTGAGAGAATTCCCATGCTTCGCCAGATTGCTTATTTGGGATATGCTTCCATGGTAAACAGATACTGTTCTCTGGCTTCATCTTGCCCTAATGAAGCTCTTCAGGTAGGTGATTTTCATTTCAGGTTGTTTTTAACAGCTTAAAAAGATAAGAAAGATAAAACTGCAATGAGACCTGATCATTTTTATTCTAGAAAACATGGTCCGAGATATACACAGTGATTTAATTTACAAATGTTCATTCCAGAAGCTTCCTTAGTAGCCAAGGGATACCAACCTGGAAGTCTTCATCACCCCTGAATACATAGCTAATTTAGACTAAATCCTGAGGAGATCACTGAATATTTGTAAGCGTGTCAGTTGCATTATGGTCATAGGGTTTCAGTGTGTGAGGATAACAATATGCGTATGCATGAATTTTGAACTGTGCTTTGTTTGCAGCCCCTCCATGACCTTGCAGCCGAGGCAGCCAGCAAGGGCAATGAAGATGACATTGTATTAGCTCTGAAAGCCATTGGCAATGCAGGAGAACCAGCCAGTATCAAGCGCATCCTGAAGTTCTTACCAATGTTTTCATCTGGTGCTTCTAATTTCCCAGTCCATATTCAGGTCGAAGCTGTGATGGCCTTGAGGCAGATAGGCTTGAAGGACTCCAGAAAGGTAAGCAGAATCAATGATAGTTTAGCTGAATAATGAGATATGAAGAATATATGCCAGGGAGAAAGTGAGTTCAGTGGTGCAGTGTTTGTGAATTCAGAACAATTCTTTATTGTTATTAGTATCACAATATTAGAGCCCCAAGTGATATCAGGGTCTGATTGTGCTGGGCACTGTAATTGTTGGGAGGTAGAAATAATGGTGTTTCTTTAGTCACTTGTCATTTTATGTGACATCTTATATTAGTCACACATTGTCATTGGTCTGCTACTGGATCACCCCTCACTAAAGTGGTCTAAATGACAGTGAACACCTGGGATCAAATTCACAAAGCCATTGGAGTTACACCACAGATAAATTTGTCTCACTAGTCATGGCATTTTCTCAAGAGCTATTCATTACATCCCAACATTTTTCTTTAATGTTTGTGCATCAACTCATGCAGTGGAAAAAAGGTTACACCTGAGGTTCTATTCTCCCTTTATTATGGATGTGTGATTTGTTGATACAAATTATACATTGAATCTGATAGAGAGAATACCCACCTTAGAAGTTATCAGACACTTATGAAATTATATTTTCCCTCTCCAGGTGCAGGACATTCTTCTCCAGATCTTTGTGGATCATTCACTTCCTCCTGAAGTCCGAATGATGGCTTGCGTTGTCATATTTGAAACTGGGCCTGCACTTCCTCTGGTAATAACTATGGCTAACGTGATACTGAAAGAGACCAATATGCAAGTTGCCAGTTTTGTATATTCCCACATGAAAGCTTTGTCAAGAATTGGATTCCCACGCTTCTATAATGTGTAAGTAGAGAGAGAAGTAAAACTGTACATTATCTGTGAAGTACAATTTCTATCACAGTCTTGTAAGTAAAATTATATATATATACACATACATGCACACACGCTGACTCAAATTACTCTGGTAAAATTTAGCTTACTTTTATATATTTTTATCCATTTTTTTAAAAGATCTGCTGCTTGCAACATTGCCATTAAACTGCTGAGCCCCAGACTTGACAGACAGAGCTATCGTTACAGTAAAGTTATTCATCTTGGTGGTTACTACAGTGAGTAAAAAAAATTAATCTACTGGGAGTGTCCGTCATTGAAACACCATTTTCCAGTCATTTGGAGAACTAATGTAAATCATTCTGAACTTAACTTGGATTCTATCTGTAAGAGTTCTTTCCTTTCGGAATGGCTGGAAGGTTTTAAAAAGTTATGAAAGGAGTATTTAATTAGTTGTAAAAGATATTTTCTGTGTCTGAATTCTGAAAAGTTTACTGTGTTTCTTTTTTATGAAGAATTATTAGAGTATATTTGTCGTTACAAATTATCTTACCAGCTCTCTAACTTTCTTGTAAAATGCCTCTTACTGCAATAAAGTGTACTTAGAATATTTAAGTTTGATCAAATAGTTTCACTGCATTTGTTAGTACAAAATTTCATCGCAGTCCTGCAAACATTTATGCATTTGAGTATCTCATCGATTTCAGTGGTATATTCGTGTATAAAGATACTTGCTCGTAAACGTTTGCTATGTCAGGACCTAAATGTTGAAAATCTTCATGAGAATACACCTTACGAAAAAAGGATTATCAGCTACAGATTGACATCCCCAGAAGTCAATAGAACAACAACAAAGCACTGTCTTGTTTTTAATTTCTACTACAGGTCGCTATCAGGCTGGTGCATTTGGAAAGATCTTCCTTATGAACAGTCCAAGAACATTGTTCCCATCAGCTTTAATTTCCAGTTTGATTGTAAACTATGCAGGTGCATCTACTAGTTTGCTAGAGGTAAATATTATATTTAAGCCAATAACAGATTGTATTAAAGTTTATTTTTGACGAATGTATTTCTTCACTAACAGTGTGTTTTAACTGTATTGTAGTGCACCCTCTCATGCACAGTGTTGTTTTTTTATTAGGTTGGTGTCCGTGCAGAAGGTCTTACGGATATTATAAGGAAACAAAACATCCCATTTGCAGAATATTCCACATACAGAAAGATAAAGGAGATTGGGAAAACAGTATGTGTTGTTCTCATTCTTTGTTTCATGTGATGTATTGTGGGTGGAATTCAAGGGCAGAGGGGTTTAGTAAGACTCTCAGCACCAGTTCAGCCTTGCACTGAGAGGCAAATTAACACCCCTGCACCCAGCCTGAGTGTCTCAGCTAGGCACTGCAGAGATTCACATTGGGATAACAGGGGAAGGAGTCTCCTGTGGAGATGGTCAAGAATTTTCAAACAAAATGGATTTTCATTGGAAAATGCCAATTCACTGATACCTAGATGTTTCACAGAAATGTGTTAGGTGAGGTAATAGCTTTTATTGGACCAACTTCTGTTGGTGAAAGAGAGAAGCTTTTGAGCCACACAGAGCTCTTCTTCAGGTCTGGCAAATAGAAGAGCTCTGTGTGGCTCGAAAGCTTGTCTCTCTCATCAACAAAAATTGGTCTAATAAAAGATATTACCTCACCCACCTTCTCTCTCGAATATCCTGGGACCGACCCAGCTACAACAACACTGCATATCACAGAAATGTTTCATTTTCAATGAACGTCTGCCAAAACACACAGAGGGTTCTGATGAAAACCTACCTGGTTCCTTGCCAGTTCACCTGGTGGGCTGCTGGGAAGCCTAGGCTTCCAGGTTCCCTGGTCCTGGGGTAGCCCCACCATGCTGACTGCCTTGGAGTTGGGACACCAGGACTTTCAGGCTCCCCGCTGCATAGCTGGGAACCCTGAGTGCTTCACCTTGAGACAGGACTCTTAGGACTTCTAGGCTCCCCACTCCATGGCGTGGGACTCTCTAGACTCTGGGGGACTTCCCAAGCTACTCCCAACTCCAGGCAACGCCCAGTCTGATCCCTTTGGGAGCAGCCCAAGGTGTCCCTCAGAGGCAAAGGCAGATGGGGGAGTCCCCAGGAGCCAAGGCAGTGTGTCAGGACAGCTGGCTGCTCCATTTTGTTTTTGAAAAATTGAATGGAAACATTTCAAATTTTCGAGACCAAAAAATGTTGGCATTTGCTTTCCATGGATAATATCAAAATTTCTAGTTTTTGTTTAGATTTGGAATATTAGTTTTTAAATGTTGGAATTTTCTGTGGCTTGGAAATTCCAAGTTTAGATCACCTGCATTCTCCTGGGATGTCTGAAGCAGCCTCCCACTCTGGCCTTGTTTCCCAAACACCCTGTGCCTCACTGCATAGGGAGCCCTAATGAAGCTGGGCTTCATAGCATGTAGTAGATGTCCAGCCCAGGGTTGGCCTCCCCAGATCCTGCCTCTCTTCCTCCCCTTGCAACCGGTCTGTTTTCAGGACTTCTGTGTCCTCAAGTGAAGGACTGATTTGATACTGTGGTCTTATCTTAAATTGCTTTTAAGTGGTGTGGAGGGCTGTGAGCTGACCCTGGGCATTGGATGTAAAGTTATCTTGTCAGAATACAAGACATTATATATGAAGTCACTTGTGTATGATTGAATTGCCTGGAATTCTGAAAAGCCACATTATGATATTAGCAAAGAAACACAAATGGCAAAGAAAAATATAGCTTAGTGAGTAGCCATTTCTGTTGCCTGTTAAATGTTTATTTGCAAATATACTGTATTAAGTGCCTGTTTGTTTGTTTGTTTGTTTGTTTGTTTGTTTGTTTGTTTGTTTGTTT